GGGGGGGGGGAGGGAATGTGCTTTTCTGTTCATATATGTGTACCTATGCATGTGTTGGTTCATCTACTCCTGTACTATCTATGCTGGAACAGAATGAAGTGGTAGCTCTGGGTTCATTTTGGCCAAAAGAAAGTACTTCTCAAGACCGAGAGGGAGGACTCTGTACCATAAGCCAGTATCCTACACAGGCTGTTCGAATGATATCTGCGGCTAATGTGTCCCAGTTTCCAAGTCAGTCCCAAGACTCAAAAGATGTACGAAGTCAAGCCATTGGTAGCAGACGCGAAAGCCTGGGGGACGAGGCTAATTGCTCTAGTATTTTCAATAAAAGGGCTAGGTTCTGGGGAGATGACTGTACAAAGGGTTCACTTTCATCTAGGGTAAACCAAACAGATCCAATATGTGGGATGAATTCCACAGAAAACAATAGAACAGAGAATGATAGGGTAGTATCTCATGCAGTTCCTGACGTAGCTGCAGCTATTGAGGATTTGTTAGAGGAAACCAGTAAGGTAATAAACATTATAGCTAATTATATTAGTGTGCAGGTCTGCCTACCTAGGTGATAGCATATTTGTCATTTTTGTCTGTTTTCTGGTTGTATCAGATTCAGGATTTGAAGTCACCACAAAGAACGGGATGTGATAAAAGTGTATCCTTAAATTGATTTGACTTTTGTTCTTTTTCTTTGCTTATATAGTTGCAATTTGCACAAGTTTCAATCCTTGATAGTAAAACAGCTTTTCTCATCTGATTGTCCAATGCTTGGTCAAGATCATGTGGATCCTCACGGTGCCTTTGCGGTGGCAAACCACTGGTTTAACAGGTGATTTTTTTTATCTTACTCTGGGTATTAGTATTTTTCTTTTCTTTCTCTTTTTTGGTTCATTTTCTGAGAAGTGAACTTGGTTGGGCTTGAACTCTCAGTTGTATGCACGATCTAGAGGCCAGTTGTTGCTTTATAGTACCTCTCATACAATTAGTTGCATTTGAACAATGCAAGAGCAGATTTAAACAAAATTATAATGCCATTATTGTCCTACTTTTAATCTAACTAGCACAAATATGTCATATCATCATATACACTTCACTGAGAACTTGAGTCAATTGTGCAAAAATCAGTTTATGATATTGTCAACCAAGATTTATCCCTCATATACAAACTGTTATCTGTTCAAATGGGTATGCATGTGGATGTTTGGTCCCATCTTCTGTCAACCGGCTCTTGAAATGTTTGTGCTTCAGGACTAACCAAAAGGAGGACATTTGCAACCTTTCTGGAGATGGAAATGCGGGAATTTATGATGGTTTTAGCGAAACACAGACGGAGTCTCAGGTTTAAGCTGTTAATCATTTGCCACTGTTATCAGTTACTTTTTATGATAGAAACATTATATGACACAGACTGGTTTTGGCATACCTATAAGCCTGATAGTGTGTGGAAAATGCATGTCCACCATGAGAAAAAAAACTGAAAGAAAATAAAATTATACGTTGGTTATATTGCATAAAATTTAATCCACTTTTGACATATCAAAAGCTCATGTTCAGCTTGAGTTGATCTCAACGTCGTGCTGAATGATCGTGCTGCTTGTTCAACTGCAGGTTGTTGGTTATGAAGAAGATTTGTCAGGAAGGCAAATGATAATAGATAGAGTCCGAACACGGAGCAGCGTGGCCTGAGGTCTTAAAACTTGAACCTCCTGGACAGCTTTATAAAGAGAGAAATAAAAACAGAAGAAAATGGGAAAAAAAGGTTAGCATAATGGTACACAGAAAAATATTTTAAGATATATAATTAACCGACGGTTCAATACTTTGAATCTTCGACCAGGTTTTCATTTTTTCTAATCTCATCTGCTGATTATGTTTTTAATTGCTTCCAGTGTGCAATTTCTTCGTTCTCATTGGTTAAAGTTTTTCTGTAGCCAACGTGTCCGAAGCTAGTTGGTGGAAACCATGATGATAGAAGTTGGAGGTTATTGCAAGGAATTGTGTTGGTAATTCAATGTTTTTTTGGGTAAATATCAGCAAATGAACTGTTTGTAACATATGATGGAAATAACCCCCAAAGTTTCCATTTATTTTTAATTTTCCTTTATCACTTCACTTATTTTGTTGTTCAACATTAGACTCTGAACTTTAATTAATTTATGTTAAAAAAGCTCGGGAGTTTGTTTGTTCAAACAGAAGATATGCTGATGTCTTTTAGCCTATGGATTCTTGTTATCAGCCACATGTTTTTGCTTATGTGCTTTGTTAGGAAATTCACACAAAATTTTCAAACCTGTGAGAAACAACAATAGAGAAAACACACGTCAAAGAAAAACAATCATACGCACAAGACAATATTTATGTAGTTTGACAATTTGTTTACGTCCACGAAATTGTAGGGATTTCACTATTATCAAGAAGGAATATAGAGCGGCCGTACTAAATCAATCAAATCCTAATCATAAAAAACAATAGGTTTTATATGTCTTGCATTAGCCTTCAAAGTGGGCCAAAAACATTTTCTCAGGGCGTTGCCCTCGGACCTCCACGAGGCTTGTCCATGAGTACTATGGTTTGGGCCGATATGGAGTAAGCGTTAAAAAAATTTTCATTAAAAATCACGCAACATTATTTCGGATCGGATCATCGTTTGGATCAATACAAAAAATTAGACTCTACAAATGCCGAAACATGCTTACTCCCCCAAGCAGAATTGTATGATTATAGCGTCATCATGTGATTGATAAGGAGATACAAAGGTTGCACTTAGTGTGCAAACCTTCTTTCTATAGATGAGATAAATAAATAATAGGAAGTTTTACCATTGATTCGCTTAAGGTCGCAATTGTCATGAACAAGCATATTAATGACGAGGAGTGCCTTGTTTTTAGGCCACTAATACTTACTTTGTTATTATGACCAAGCTTGGTTCAGGACTTGCATGACATAAAAATATTGATAGAGGTGGAGAACTCTAATGATTTTATTAGTCATTGATAAAAAGGGATATTCAAAAAATGCATATTTTAGGGACAAAAAATACTATTAACCCTTTATATAATAAAGTACAAGGTATTTCAAAGTTTAAAAGACATAAAAAATAACATATACTTTTCGTGGTTGATATCGTCTCAAAATTATGTTTGTATTTAATCTAATGGTCGAAAATCATTATCAATTTTTATTTTCCTCCCAAAATATATTCTATCTCTCTCTCTCCAAGCTAATTAGCCTATGGGAACTTGACCCACCTAATTTAAAGTGGATTTTTGTGAAAATGAAGTATTAATTTGATGAAATCTTATTTGACGGCTAATTTCAAAAGAATGGGCCAATTAAAGGATATCAATTAAATATGCACATTTGAAATTATAGGTTGAATTTGAATTATGTAAATTTATATGTATAAAATTAAACTTCATTCTATTGTTAATATTACTATGTTGTTGCTAAATAATTTTGTTAAGGTAGAATTGAGAAGTGATATTGAATTTGATAAATGAGTTGGGCCGTATTTCCTTTAAATTCATGTATTTCTTAATTATTCAATAAATTATGTACATAAATTAATATTTTTTGTGTTTTGTTTTTCAATTAAACTTTACCCATTTTTTTGGGGGTCTAAATTGATTTAAAATGGAATAACTAAAAAATAAATAAATAAATTGCTACTTGAAATATTTGTATGCTATTAAAAATATATATACTATATGATTAGTATTCGATTTTGTTTTGCACAATGTCTTGGGGTACGTAATTTATCCATTTTTTTTCAAAAAATAAGTGATTGTCACAATTTGATATTTGATATAGTAGGTTTGATTCTTTGAAGTGTTCGACTATTATATTGGACTGTACTTTAGGCACAGATTATTACTAATATTACAATGCATTAAAATTAGTAACAACTTTATATCAAAGTTTTTTGTATGGGTTAATAGACTATGTTTTGAATTATCAGTTATATGTCACACCATATCAAACCAGCCAAATACCACAGGTGTTAAAAATGTAAAAAAAAGAAGGATAAATAAATAAGGTTGAAAAAAAGTTTGCACCCTAAATTTTTTTAGTCTTTTAATTTATATCTTAAAAGATCAAATTTTTTATAATACGCGGTCAATCATATAAAAATATATCAATTAATTTAACCACATTATTATGTCAGTAAATTAAGTCAAAATTTTAAATTCAGATAGGATTACTCATTTTGTAAATTGAGTGAACCTGACAACATAGTACGACACGATTAATAAACGAATCGAGTATAAATAAAACTAATTTAAAAAAATATCTAACATAACTTATGACACAATCTATATAATAAAACATATACTAACTTGAATTTTTATCTCCTACATATTTTTTCTCTAAAAAATACCATATCACCCATTTCTATCGCATGTTCAATCATTTAATATTTGATTAATTTATAGTTTAACATAATTTTTATTTTCGACATTATCCATACACGATAATATACCCAAGTTGAGAAAATTTTGTTAAATTATGTATTTTGAGAAAATTTTTAATATTTTTAAGAAAATAATGGATAAAAATAAATTTTAAATGATAAAATCAAAGAAATGAAGGAAAAAAATTATTATTTAATATAATGAGATCGATTTTTTAGACGTTCGAATTTTATATTCTATCGTACCTTCAGACACAGGTTATGACTAGTTTATTTATATCCCAGTTGTACACAAATTTATATATGATATATCACATATAAGTCACCCATTTTATAAATTGAGTGAAATTGATACAACACAATTAATAAATAAATAAGATATAAAAGAATTACACAGGAATTTATATACCTCACGATTTATGAGGCACGAACTGTTACGACAATCGGGAAAATTCGACAAGAGGCTTTACAGCAACACCAGTTCGAAACTCTTAGCCGACCCTGAAGTGCGAACTGCGAGTTTTCTTTTCTTCTACAGAAGAAATTGAACCAGAACTCGGTTGAAGTCCCGTTAAATTTTCTTTCTCGCCCTTTTTCCCAGGAAAATTCCCATCCAAACAGAGCATGTCTCACTTCTAGAGCTCCGCCTCCAGGTCTGTCAGTTCTCTTTTCCTAATTATGCCTCATTACGATTCACACCTTCTCTAGTTTTTGCAGCTTAAATACTTCGAATAATGCCATGATTGTCAGAAGAATATGTTCTTTGCTTTATTCAACTATTGTGTCACAAAATACAATCACGAACACACCCATTTGTATATGATCTAAATATTTGTGTATGTTTAGTACTTTATTGATTTAAAATAGGAAAAATGCAAGTTGTTTTGGGTCTGCTCAATTTGGAAGTATGCTAAATGGTTGAGTTTTGCGTGGCTTATGTGCTTGTAGATTATGAAAATTCAGCGAAGCTTTTTAGTTATTGGTTATTTCCCCCTTTTTTGGTTGATTTTTCTAATCCCTTTTGTGTGATTTTTCTTGTCTGTGAGTTGGTTATCTGGTCTAAATATGAAATCTGAACCGTGGCCATGTTTTATTGTTAAAAGTGATTGGTAGTTGATGTGATCGTGTAGCAATTATGGTGAATAATAAGGAATCAAACAATTAAGAAAGTAAGAGAAAATAACACAGAGATTTACGTGGTTCGGCAATGTGCCTACATCCACAGGAGCGAGCGGCCGTTCTTTTTCATTATTCAAAGTAGAGTTACATCTTAACTATTTATATAACTCTAGTACGGACGACCGTACCGCGGGGGCGTTGCCCCCCGCACCCCCAACTAACCAGCGTCCCTCTCATATATAAAATATATCAATCCTGCAAGGTAGATGCCGTCGTGGGCGGAGCGTAGCGGAGATGATGTTTCGGCATCTGCCTCCTTGCCATTGTGCACACAGCAAATATGAACCATACATACGCTAACAATCTGCACCTCGGCAAATATTCATTCCTCAGGAGAAAAAAAGAGAACATGTATTCGGGAACTCCACCGGGGACGCTAAGTTGGGGCATCTCCTATCTAGCAACTAGAGACATTAATCAAGCTCAAGCAGTGCTTGAACTTGTCTGTAGTAACAGACTTTGTCAACATGTCTGCTACATTCTCAGAAGTGTGAACTTTCTCAAGTAATAGTTCACTAGAAGAAATCAGTTCCCTGATCTTATGAAACCTCACATCTATGTGCTTGGTCCTCACATGATACACCGGGTTCTTTACTAAATAAATGGCACTCTGACTATCACAATGCAACTGAACTCCACCTTGCTGGGCACCTAGCTCCTTGACCAAACCTGTAAGCCACAAAGCCTCCTTGGCAGCCTCAGCTACTGCCATATACTCTGACTCAGTAGTAGATAGTGCAACTATAGGCTGTATCATGGACTTCCAACAAATAGGTCCTCCCACAAGAGTAAACACATAAACTGTGGTAGACCTCCTGTCATCCAAGTCCCCTGCATAGTCTGCATCCACATATCCCACAACTGAAGGGTCATTTTGTTGTCTGCCAAACATGATGCCATAGTCTGTAGTGCCCCTCAAGTATCTGAAAATCCACTTGACTGCATCCCAATGTTGTCGACCCGGATTTGAAAGAAACTTGCTAACCACGCTGACAGCTTGTGCCAAATCTGGTCTTGTACAAACCATGACATACATCAAGCACCCCACTGCACTAGCATATGGGACCTTTGACATGTCATGAACTTTATCATCTGTCTTCGGGCACTGAGCGGTAGACAATCTGAAATGATTCGCCAAAGGTGTACTTACTGGTTTTGCATAACTCATGCTGAACCTGTCCAACACCTTCTCAACATAGCTATGCTGAGATAGCCATAATCTCCTGGAACTTCTGTCCCTGCGAATCTCCATCTCAAGAATCTTCTTAGCCGCACCCAAATCCTTCATATCAAATTCTCTGCTCAACAAAGTCTTCAACTTGTTGACCTCACTCATACTCTTGGCAGCAATCAACATATCATCCACATAAAGTAACAGAAAAATAAATGAATCATCATCAAGCCTTTTTACATAGACACAACAATCATACTCACACCTTTTGTAGCCAATTCGGATCATGTAAGAGTCAAATCGTTTGTACCACTGCCTCGGAGACTGCTTCAGCCCATAAAGTGATTTCTTCAAATTACAGACCAAATGTTCCTCTCCAGGGAGACTGAACCCTTCTGGCTGTACCATGTAAATC